CGTTTGACCCCCAAAGCCCAGTTCATTTGACTAGTGTGATCGCTCCGTGCCACGCTCGGTTGGAAGAGGTGGGCCAGAGCGCAGTTCAGTTATATATAGATCCGTGAGTGTGAGCGCTAACTGCGCCGGAGCGCGGAACTTATGATACGTGCAGCATGATTGCATGAACATTTCTGAGCGGCAAGAGTGATAGATCTGAAGCAATATATTGTGAGAGAGGGCCGTGTGTTACCGCGTCCCAAACAACTCAAAATAATAAACCACTAAGTTAACAAAACGATGCACCACTGTGCTGAGCGAGAGCGCTTCTCTGCTGTCTTCACGTGCTATCGGAAACTTCCTATTTCCCACGTATGAAGTTGTGATTATGAGCACGTTGCATTCTTTTCTGTTAAAAATAACAGTGAACAGTAGTTCGTGAATGTTGATGCTTAGCCTAAATAATTTTATCTGGAGCATTCATGTGAGCGCTGCTGCAGTCTTAGGCCCACCCCAAATGCTCTCATTGGTTGAGACACGTGATGACACCCATCCCAAGCCAGTTCTGAATTTACATCTCACTCCTCCTTAGACCCATGGTTTGTCTGTATGTGTATTCAGAGCCAGTGAGCAAAGGACTTTCATAATAATAAAAAACTGCATTAATGCACGATAAAATAATTGTCGGCGTTAATCAATTAATGCGTTAACGTGATAATAATGCGTTAACTTGGCCAGCCCTTTATATATTTATATATATATATATTCTTATTAAAGTTATAAAAGTGATTTAGTTAAGAGCAGTGAGAGATTTTCTCTCTTTTGCTGTTTGATTAACATGAATGACAGACAGCAGGAATATAAGACTGCTATCACTTTAAGAGCTGCCCGGATCCAATATACTGTTACACGTGTTTTCTTTCTCAGCTGTTTGCTTTCACTTAAGACCTAAATTACTGTTTATGAGGATTCTTGCAAAGACGAGTATTTTGATGCATACAAGTGTGTGCATTTTACCATTCAAGGCCTATAATTCGGCAAAAATAACTTTGTTTAATACTCCCGTGCTCTGTGAGCACCGTCTTCAGACTGCTCTCAGACAGCGCGCACATATAGCGAATTGAGTTCTCTTCCATTGATAATTGCGTTTTAGTGGCTTAAAATAACTTGTTTTTAAACTGCAGTGCTTAAAAATGCATGCAAACAATAGGTTTTCATGACCACATAGCACAGCAATGTCACATGAGCACGTAACCGTGATGGAAACGATACTCCTGAATCTTTACCAGTTGACAAATTTCTAAAGGTTAATTGTGTCGACCGGTAAATCACCCACCCCTACTTCTGTGACATTTTCATTAAGGGTCAGATGCATCTATACTGCTCCACCTTTTAGTTTAGAATCAACAGTTCAGTACATCCATTAAAACGGCATTGTAGTCCAAAATTGTGCTTTATGAACCATTAAGTATTGTCAGCCTTGTTAAAGGGTGTTAACGTTGAACCGATGACCATGCAATTGGCTTTTGAGCATTCATGTGAGCGCTGCTGCAGTCTTAGGCCCACCCCAAATGCTCTCATTGGTTGAGACACGTGATGACACCCATCCCAAGCCAGTTCTGAATTTACATCTCACTCCTCCTTAGACCCATGGTTTGTCTGTATGTGTATTCAGAGCCAGTGAGCAAAGGACTTTCATAATAATAAAAAACTGCATTAATGCACGATAAAATAATTGTCGGCGTTAATCAATTAATGCGTTAACGTGATAATAATGCGTTAACTTGGCCAGCCCTTTATATATTTATATATATATATATTCTTATTAAAGTTATAAAAGTGATTTAGTTAAGAGCAGTGAGAGATTTTCTCTCTTTTGCTGTTTGATTAACATGAATGACAGACAGCAGGAATATAAGACTGCTATCACTTTAAGAGCTGCCCGGATCCAATATACTGTTACACGTGTTTTCTTTCTCAGCTGTTTGCTTTCACTTAAGACCTAAATTACTGTTTATGAGGATTCTTGCAAAGACGAGTATTTTGATGCATACAAGTGTGTGCATTTTACCATTCAAGGCCTATAATTCGGCAAAAATAACTTTGTTTAATACTCCCGTGCTCTGTGAGCACCGTCTTCAGACTGCTCTCAGACAGCGCGCACATATAGCGAATTGAGTTCTCTTCCATTGATAATTGCGTTTTAGTGGCTTAAAATAACTTGTTTTTAAACTGCAGTGCTTAAAAATGCATGCAAACAATAGGTTTTCATGACCACATAGCACAGCAATGTCACATGAGCACGTAACCGTGATGGAAACGATACTCCTGAATCTTTACCAGTTGACAAATTTCTAAAGGTTAATTGTGTCGACCGGTAAATCACCCACCCCTACTTCTGTGACATTTTCATTAAGGGTCAGATGCATCTATACTGCTCCACCTTTTAGTTTAGAATCAACAGTTCAGTACATCCATTAAAACGGCATTGTAGTCCAAAATTGTGCTTTATGAACCATTAAGTATTGTCAGCCTTGTTAAAGGGTGTTAACGTTGAACCGATGACCATGCAATTGGCTTTTTATGCTCCGTTCATTAACGGGGTCATATGATGCGATTTAAATTTTTCCTTTCTCTTTGGAGTGTTACAAGCTCTTGGTGCATAAAGAAGATCTGTAAAGTTGCAAAGACTAAAGTCTCAAATCCAAAGAGATATTCTTTATAAAAGTTAAGAGTCAGCCACGCCTACCTAAAATGGCTCGTTCTAACACGCCCCCACATGTCTACGTCACGATGTGGGAAGATTTGCATAACGTTGCCCAAATGTTCACGCAAAAAAAGAAGGCGTAACTTTTATTCTCGCTGTAGTATTGTTGCCACCGCCGCCATGTCGTGAAGGCGCTGTGTGATTCGTTGTGAAAGCGAAACTACTTTGTTTGGCCTTCCAAAAGAGGACGATATCGCTTCGTCATGCCTGGAGCTAATCCGTGCTGGTTGCTGAGGAAATACAAGAACTTTGCACTGTGGATCGTCGGATCGGCTTTCAATTATGTCTCGTCGCTCCGGCCGGACACGGCATCAACAGTATGTGTGGGGCGTAACATTTCCGTCTCACGCTTGAGGTATTCGGCCAATCACAACGCATTGGATAGCTGGCCAATCAGAGCACACCTCGCTTTTTCAGACCGATGAGCTTTGTAAAAATCGACGTGTTTCAGAAAGGCGGGGCATAGAGGAGAAACAATAATGTACAGTATGTGGAAAATAATGTGTTTTTTGAACCTTAAACCACATAAACACATTTCATTACACCAAATACACAAAATAATGTTCTTTTTAGCAACATCGTATGACCCCTTTAAAGTGCAGCAAAGCTCCCCTATTTAGATTGGCGTGCTAAAGAGAAAGAGGGCCCAGGACGTGTTCAGACTGTTCCCCAAGCCTTTCAAAAGCAATATTTATGTTTTCGCTATCCCAAGAAGTGCATGGCATGCCTGTGAAAAAGCAATGTTCTTAGGAATACTCTGCATGGACATGATGATATTGATACTTAAGAAGAAGAGTTTACACCTGTGGAGAATATTTTTAGTTTGAGAGGGAGGGAGGTAACTACCGTTTAGTCTGGATATAAGTGCTTCTCAAAGCCAGTCTAAGTTCGGCATGATTTATAGACAATAGCTCACGTAGAAAATGCCTTTCGCATTTGCAACACTCAAACAATGCAGTATGTGCTCAGAAACTGCGCAATGCGCATTGCACACATTGTTCTGTTGTTCATACTTTTGCATGATTTCCAGAGAGTAGAATGAAAGAATAGCTGTTATCATCTTGTTTGTTGTTCTAGGCCCTTCCTGGACATGTTGTATAACGCACTGGACTGTGACACAGAGGATTACCAGGCTCTGTTTGTGCTTTGTCTCGTGTATGCCGTGTCTCACAGTAAAGGTATCTGATCTGCATTTATCGAACAAAGCATTTAAAATTAATGGATAATTATGGTAATAGTTGTGAAAGGGTTTCTATGTCAAATATTTAAAATAATAAATTGTAAATAAATATTACAAAAGAAACTAAAAGAAGACACTAATAATATGACACTGCTAATAATCAGAAGTTTTTCTTGAGCACCAAAATCAGCATATTAGAATGATTTCTGAAGGATCATGTGACACTGAAGTAATGATGCTGAAAATTCAGCTTTGCCATCAAATGTATTTAAAAAGAGAGCAGGAATTGTAAAATTTCGAATATTTCAATGTAATTTTTACTATATTTTAAAAACAGTATGTCCAACCATTCAAAATGCTTACATATAACATGTTTGCTTACTTGATTAGTTAATACAGTACTTAATACTGTAATACAATGGTTATATGGTTACATGATTTAAAAAAATTTAGACAGCTTTACAGTCAACATCATGCTCCAGCATTCTGTTTCTTTATCTCTTGTTGGTTTATGTGTGCGTGTTCATGCTCAGGTATAAACCCGGAGCTCTTAGAGAGGATCCAGCTACCTGTGCCAAATCAAGAGAGGAGCTCTTACAGTCAGGTGTTGGTGGAAAGAGTGATCCGAATCATGAGCCAGGCTGCTCAGCCAGGTACACACACACACACACGGCGCATTCTCACTCTACTGTACTTTACAGACAGATTCCAAATATAATCCTTCACCTGTTTAAACATGCTCATTAAATATTACACACTGCAGATTCCATTGGTGTGCCTGAACTTGACTGTGTAGACCAAAGCACTCACTGTTTATTCAGGGTAGTCCTTTACTCGTATTTTAACACAGTGATTGTGCAACATTTTTATGTGCACATACGCTTTCTTTTTTGATGTACTTAATAAAAATATCTGATTTCAATGTGTGTGATTCATCAGTACAAATTATTCTAGACAGTTTCTTTTCATAATCAAATAACAACTTTCTCTGACTCTGAACCTGTGTGATTTTAGTATTGTTTAGTCATTTTTTTGAATTAGGTTTTGTTTTGATTTTTGACTTTTCATTTTAACTTTAGTTTGCATTTGTGCTTTTGGTAGCACTTTAGAATAGGAAGTTTTCCCTGAAAAAAACTCCTAATTTGCGGCTTATTAATAGTTAGCAAGGTAGCTGTTAAGGTCCTTGTGAAATCAAAGTTGACTTTATTTACGTTGTTAGCGCACATTGCTAGTCTTGAGGTGAACAATTAATCAGTGCAAATTAATAAATAATAAATAATAAAAATTGTTTGTCTTGGTAATCTTTAATCAAAATCTGAACATTTGCTTCTCATCTGGAATGGCAATGAGGAGTGCTAAGATAAAACTCCACCCTTTATTCAATATCCTGTTTCAGTTGGAGATATGTCACCATACTGAATGGGACTTAAATGTGGACTAAGTTTAGGTATAGGGTAGGATTAAGGGATCTAAAATATGATCATGCAGAATAAGGCATTAATATGTGCTTTATAAAATACAGTACTAACAAACGTACCGTTAGTAATATGCATGCTAATAAGCAGCTAGTTAATAGTGAGAATTGGTCCTTAAAATAAAGTGTTACCGTGCTTTTTTTGTTTTAATTTTCTCAGTAATACGAGTTATTTATTTTATCTCAGTTATTTGTCAATTTAACATTTCAATTTTTCATTATAAAATGTTTATATTTTATTTCATTTCAGATTTTGATTAAAGATTTTGATTAAAATGATTTTTAATTGTTTTAATTTTAAATTACTTTTCTTTCTGCTGAAAATAATCTTAACTAATCATTTCAAGAAAAAAAACACATAAAAGTACTTTTTTTGCAACACATTTTTTTTCCACCTCATGTCAGAATAACATCTCTTCAATTTTTACCACTTTTTTGAGCACATTTTACTAAAAAAGCTTGCTGTTTGCAGAAATCTCCAGTTTATTTCTATGGGATGTTTTGAAAAGCTTTAGCAACAGTTATTGTGAATAACCGTAACCAAGGGGGCTAAACGCAGTGAAGTGTCACTTGTTATTGATGCATGTTTCTTTAGCTCTGCACCCTTTACCACAGCCTTGAGTAACACAAATTGCAACCGATTTCCTCTGACCGTTGATCTCTTTCACCTTTATTTAGAGGAATTGTAGCTAATTTCTCCTTTCAGGGCTCCTGTAATTGTTGTGACATTTGAATGCTGACTTACTTCACTTACTCAATGTATGACAAACATACAAAATGTAGAACTGATTGAGTCCTCATTATGCTGTTATCCTCATGTTTTATGATGCATTCTTCATTGTGACACTAGCATGACAAGAAGCGAATCTCCTCTTTCCCCAAGATCCACAGATTTTCCTCTTCATTTATGACACTTTTGTCTGCTAACATGGTTGTTTGGCTGTTGCCGTGATTACACATGTCACATCTGAGCTATTCTAATGTCACACACTTCCCTTTTTAAGTCATGCTTGCATTTTTCTCGTCTTGAGAGTCCAAAATTAATTGCGTAATTTGAACTGTCACGTGTTTGGTCTGCTTTTACATAATACCACTTTGATTCAGTTTTAAAATTAGCACAATTGCACCTTATGTGTTTGATCTACATCATCACAACTTAGTGTGTGTATGTGTGTGTGTTTCAGATGGAAAGGTGCGTCTTGCCACCTTGGAGTTAAGCTGTCTGCTTCTGAAACAGTCTGTGCTGTCTGGCTCTCAATGCATTATAAAGGACATTCATTTGGCCTGTTTGGAGGTAAGAGTCTTAACACAGAACCAAAAGCACTTCACTTTACTATTACATGTTCTGCATTTTATATATGCCAGCAACTGTAATATCTTTGCCAGAATACATTTTTTTTAAGCTCATGGTGCATAAGATTCAAGTTTACCAAATGGGACTGGTGAAATCCATGAATATTTTTATATATATAAAATGTTAAGAAAGAAAATGAAGGAATAAAATGAAGCGAACGGGAATAAGGTGATAAAATTAATTACGTAAATTATGATCAAAGACATTTATTGACACCAAAGAATATGAATCATTTATTTGTATAAATGAGAATATTAATACAATTTTCTTCCATAAATATGAATGTTAAATTATGATAGACAATGTTTGCAAACTTATAAGACACATTAAAGACCCATCAAATTTAAAATTAAGTAAATCTGAATCACGTTGGTTGTATTGCCAAATCCATGATAGCATTGCATTGTGGTGACTGTTTTAGCAATGAATATACATACTGCTTATGGCCTGCTTTGTCACTGAAGATAAAGACTTGGAAATTTGGCATTTATTATCTTTCACAGTAATTGAAAAGGATGGCTTTTGACACCAAGTTAAAAAATGTGAAGTGATTCATGCTGATTTGCTTATCAACCATTCCATATTAGATGATTTAAAACTGGTTGCAACATATTTCTAATTAATCAGGTGTTTCTTAACACATGCAATATGCACACTTAGGTTTTTCCCAGTAATTTTTCTTACATTGGGTAACGGTGCCTTTCGTTCTTATTTTGAAACTAGACAGATTTACAGGAAGTAGGACATTTTACTTGTTTATATTGCGCAACTCAATCATACCATTGCTATGATGATATTTTCTTTTTTTAGGGTGCCCGAGAAGAGAGTCTTCACCTTCTGAGGCGGTTTTATAAGGCAAGATGGTCTTTTATTTTATTTCGGATCACATGAAAGTCACCAGTTGGTTCAGGTACTTACTGGAACCCAGAGAGTTCAAGGCAGCAGACCTTCATACTAATAATTCTCATAATTATCACCTAGTCACCTCACTTGTATTTGATTTCCTTTAAAGTCTGAGGAAGAATTAAGCTCAGACAGCTCATCCTAAAGACTTTGTTGTTTTGATATTTGGGAAAATCCCAGCAGCTTCCTGTTGAAACTTGTTAGCGCTCTTGGTGGCTTATTTACATTGAGACATTTCTGTGAAAGCAAACTACAATTAAACAGAATAGAGTTCTGTACAAAGTACACTAGTGCGTTCAACTTTTGCTTTGGCCACTCTGTCATTTGTCTTAACATTGAAGGACATGTTTTCCAGCTTTTACTGCAGCCTGCAGCACTTTTTTTGTTGTTTTTGTTTTCCCTGAAGTCATTTTCACTCATGAAATTTGAGTGCTCTGGCGTGATTCTGTTTAACGTACATGAGAACAGCAGCCAGTTTTGCTTTCACAATTCAAAGAAAGATCTCTTTCAGAATGCATTATGCAGGCTGCACATTATCCAAAACCTCTGTTACTGTGAGAGAAGACCGTATGTAAATAATCACTGTACTGAATGTTCTGTTCTGGGATTATGGAGGGCCCTGGGAGGACCCATGTTTTGGTATCTCATCTGCATTTCCTGTGTGCATAATTGATCAGTGTGTCCCAGCTCTTCCAAGAAACTGGGCAGACACGTACAGCAGCAGTCACGGGTTTAGACACACCTACTGTTTCTTTATCGTTTCTGTTGTCTTCTACGCTATACCATAATAGTGAAGTCAAAACTATGAAATAACAGAAGTGAAAGCATGGGAATTATGCAGTGACCAAAAATGACTTGTACTGTATATGTGAAAGAGTCAGACTGTTCCGAATAATTCAACTCATGCTCATTTTCTCTTTAATTCTGTATATTACCACCTTTTCTCATAATGTCCCTCCCTTCATCCTTCCCATGGGGATATTCATGGAGTGTTCACACTGATTCATGTTAACAGTTGCTCTTTCGACTGTACTGGCGTCAGATGGTAACATGGTAACATTTTCCCTGAGGGACAGTGGGATTTAGTTTTGACTTTCTTTTTTTTATTTTGAAGGGGTCATATGATGCGATTTCACGTTTTCCTTTCTCTTTGGAGTGTTACAAGCTGTTCGTGAATAGATAAGATCCCTAAAGTTGCAAAGACTAAAGTCTCAAACCCAAAGAGATATTCTTTATAAAAGTTAAGACTCGTCCACGCCCTCCTAAAACGCCTCATTTAAACACGCCCCCACATGTCTACGTCACTGTGTGGGAAGATTTGCATAACGCCGCCCAAATGTTTACGCAAAGAAAGAAGGCGTAACTTTGATTCTTGCTGTAGTATTGTTGCTGCCGCAGCCGCCATTTCGTCGAGACGCTATGTGTTTTGTTGTGAAAGCGAAACTACTTTGTTTGGCCTTCCAAAAGAGGACGATATC